AAAAATCGAAATATGAGCCTAAAATACATAGAGATTATGAAATTATTATTTATAAATATAGCACAAAAATAACTGGTCGGCCAATTTGTGAGTTATCCGTCGCCACATTTAAAATTCATTTTCCAATTTTTTCACAAATACAGATGCGTAAAAATATATTATTTGTTACATAAATTATATTTATTTCTCTAAACAACAAACATTAATCGTATTATCCCGGTGTCATGAACGCAGAAATAGACTGCAGGATTGTGTCATGTGGGTCGACTCCATGAACTCGGCCAAGTAGGTCTCAAGATGGTGTCGTGTCGTTCCTCGATGACGCTTGTTTCTCCATTTATCTGATCCCAGCAAAGTTCGATATTCTGAGTGTGGATTCCGATACCTGAATCAACGAAATTGATTAGCACTGAAATGTTGGAAGCCAGCCTCTTCCAACCAACTGTCGGAGTAGATAATGGAACCTTCAGCGATGTTTTTGTAGTGTTTCTCACTTGGCAGAGTCTCTTTACCTTGAAGCAGGCAAACAGCATCAATTTCATTTCTTTGGGCCCCAAAGATTCATTAAGAAGTTTGAAAAAAAAATACTACATCTACTCTTTATAAAAAGTGGTGACCCACAATTACCAAATAATCTATACTACCTTTTTAGCACTAGTAATATCTAAACTACTAAATGATAAAAAAAATGAATGAGAGAAGAAAGTTGATAAATATAACTTTATATAAAGTAAAAACAGGAAATAAAAATAAAGCAAACGACCTTCAGATAAGATATATAAATACAAATAAATATTAATTCAGAAAAACCAGGTAACTGGAAAAAGTTGAAAAATAATAATAATAATAATAATAATCAATACGTATATAAATACAAATAAATAATATAATAATCATAATATATCATATTATCATACTTATTATAAAATCCAGGTTGTGTGTGTGTGTCTGTACGTTTATATATTGGATCGGATTTCCTACATTTTTCAACTGATTTCAACAAAACTTCACAGGACTACGTAAAATTACCTTGCGGTGGTTCTGACAGCGCCAAAGATTGAAAAAACACAATTGTTTTTGCACGAAATCAATTTGAAAACACGATTAAGAGACATCGCTGTCGAGAATAAAAGGGGACAACTCATATCGAGTTATGCTTATTATAAAACCCAGGTTGGTTGTGAGTGTGTGTCTGTGTTCGTTTATATATGGGATCGGATTTCCTATATTTTTCAACCGATTTCAACAAAACTTCACTTTTTTTTTTTTGGCAGGTAGTGTTTTTTATTGTCTTGCACACTTTTTTCTTATTTTTACATTCAGAATGCTTTAAAAATTCCATTTACAAGACAATTGTTTATAATAAAATTCTATTCAATCGATAGACTCATAACGATTGAAAACAACGCTTTTGAGTTTGGATTTGACCAATTCGTAAAAAAAAAAACAAAAAAAAAAAAAAATTAATTAAGACATGCGTGTCCGTCAACCTTAAACAATAATCTTTGTCAATTTTATTTTTCAGTCTTTATGATGGTCGATACTTGATCTATCTCTTACTGTTACATCCCCGGGCAACGCCGAGCTCTATTGCTAGTATATAATAAAAAATGAAATAAAAGAAATAATAATTGGGAATTATATTAAATTATTACATTACTTTTAGTTTCAGGTGATATGTACGTTTTTATATATTATATAATAATTTTATATTAAATTATTACATTATTTTTAGTTTTAGGCGATATTTACGTTTTTGCAGTTATTAATTTTTTCAAGCTTCGAAAAAACACGTCATCTCTCGTTGAGTTCAGAACTGGTAAAAATTGTTGATGCCAATACTGCAATATCATTCAACAAAGACCATATAAAAATAATCATTTCTGCTTTTGGTTGGATCTTAATTTTTGATTATAGCACCGGATGAAGATGTAATATCAGTGATTTGGTCAATGTAAAAGTTAGAGTAATAGTATACTGAAATCCATTGGCTTTGAAGCTTGTAACTGATGGTCATTTGAAGTGGTTCTTCTTCATCACAAATGCTAGAGTTGTTTGAATATTCACTGAATGTCTTCGTTTCTTCATTTAGGAGTAGAGATGAAGTTCCATTAAAAGTTATCTCACTGTAGTGTCTATTCGCTTCACACAGTTGATCCATAAAAATTGAAATTTAATTAGGTAATTTTCAAAATCCTATCAGTTTCCTTTTTGTTTTTTAATGATTATTTGTTTACTAGTTCTGTGGACTACATACTATTACTGAGGTTTAAAAGAAATCGCTTTTTTTTTTTTTTAAATAAATACATTCGTTAAACTTTGCAAACAAGCATTGTCTTTGCGTGTGTGTGTTTTCTTTATGGAAGATAATAAGCATAACGATTTTTTTAAGCCGGCATCTGTTCATCTTTTACATTTTTTATGTATTGGTGCTTTCCACGCCAGAGACTCCTACCCGAACTTTTAATAAAATTTATATTTAATCTTATGTTCAGTAGAGTAGTCTTCTTCTAAATGCGAGAAGCAGGCCGAAGACAACCTCAAATTCGTTGCAGTGTATGAAAAGTTTAAATAGACTTAATAGTTATAAATTGTTAACATAATTATTAATTCTTGACTTGTTTTCCTTTCGTCTTATTTTTTGTTACTGTTTTACATCTAGAAGTAAGAATAGACGTATCTTCTTTATAAATTATCATAATTATTGATTAAGATGTCTGGATTTATTAGATGAATCATTTGTCATACTTATTAATTCTTGTCTAGATTTCCTTTAGTATTATTTTATTGCTACCATACACCTACATGCAAAAATGATCATAATAGTCTTAAGATGTCTATAATTATGAGATGAATCATTTGTAATACTTATTGATTTTTGTCTAGCTTTCCTTTGGTATTATTTTTGATGCTAATTATACCTACATGTACAAATGACAATAATAACCTTAAGATATGATGATATATAGATAAATCATTTGTCATAATTATTGATTACTAACTAATTACTTTTCACCTTTTTTTCTATGGCTTCTTCACACTTAGGAAAGGATTAGTCGTAGTAGCCTTAAGATAACAGAATTTTGCATAATTATTGATTCATAACTAGTTTTAGTTTCATAATATCTTTCATGCTTCTTTTTAGCAAGAATTATGAATAAGATTTATGGTCGTAAGGTGTCAAAATTTCAATAAACCTAGAAGTAAGGATAAACATAATAGCCTTAAGATGTTTGTATTTATTAGATTAATTATTTTTCATAATTTTTCATGATTCTTGTCTAACTTTCCTTCTATAATATTTTGTTGCTATTTTACCTACAAGAGCAGAAATATACGAAATTACATTTAGATGTTTGAATCTATTAGATGAACGATTGTCATAATTTTTTATTCTTGTCTAATTTTTCTTTGTTTTGCTATGATTATCAATCTTACAATGACAGTATTTATTAGACAAATCATACATTACAGTTATTTATTCTCAATTATTTTTCTTGTCATCTTATTTTGGCAAATTTTTACATCTTAAAGTAGGAAGAGACATGATGCTAGAATTTATTAGATGGACAATTTGTCATATTTACTGACGCTTAGCATTTTTTTTCTTTATTCTTCTTCCAAGTGCTTCTTTACATATAGTAGTGTATGAATCTATCTTATCCCGATAGCTGTGGGTCAAATAGTAGGACTTGTATCTGGAAAAATCAGTTATTCTTCTAAATAAATTGTTAATGCAATATTCACTAACAAACAAAAAAAAGAAAATAATTTTTCTTGCAATCTAAATTATGTTTCGTTGTTGCAGTCGCTCTCTCACAGACGTGCCGTCGCCTCCCTCTGTCTTTTTTGCGAATACTTTTATGTTAACAGCTCCGATGAGCTGCTTTCGCTGGTTCCCAAACTTCATGAATTTAAACTAGGCTGGCATCTCGCTCACACCCTTTCACTATCGAAACTGTTAAATGTAGCCGTCTCTTCTACTCCAATAGCTTCATGTCTCGCACTTCTCGCCTGTGGAACTCACTCCCCTCTTCCTGTTTCCCTGATAACTATAACCTCCAACTATTCAAATGTAATGTCAATCGACATCTCCAGATGCCCTGATCTATCCCCTATCCTTCTCTTCATCCTTTCCTCTATCATTCCTATTTGCTCTTGCTCCAACTCTCTGTAACCCCTTGCGTGCTAGTGGCTTCCCGTGTTGCTTGGGGTGAAACGCTTAAAAAAAAATCCCATAAAGTGTTAATAAACCATAAAAATCAGTCAAACATATAATATAGACAGACATAATAGCCTTAAGAATACTGAATTTAGTAGACAAAACCATAAGAATTGGTTCTTGATTCGTTTTCATCTTCTTTTGCATTTTTACAACGTGAAGTGGCATAATGATCTAAAGTTTTCGCAATTTATTAGATAAATCATTTGTAATATTCATTGAATTTTTTAATCATTTTCAATTCGTCTTATTTCTGTTGCTACTTTCCACCTAGAAACAGGAATTGACGTAATGTCCTGAAAATGCCAAAATGTATTAGTTTAACCATTTCTCATATTTACATATACTTTACTCAGTTCTTTTTACATATTTACATTGCTTATTTACACCTAAATGTAATGGCCTTGGGATGTCAGAATTTATTAGGTGAATCACTTATTACAATTACTGATTTTGTGTAGTTTTCCTTTCATCTTAATTCAGCTTTTTTACACCTAGAAGTAGAAATAGTTGTAATAATCTTAAGTTGTTTGAAATTATTACGTGGATCATTTATCATAATTTTTCATTTTTTACTAACTTTCATTTCCTTTTATTTATTATTTCAATGTTGCTTTCTATTGCAACACTCACATAATTTTAATTCTATGACCTCTATATCAGCATTGCTTACTCAGCAATGTTATTTCTTTGCCATTTTACGTTTAACTTATTGGAATATTGTTCTTAGTTGCATGTTGCATAAATGAATCTAATTCAAATTTACCGTATTTTTTAGCGGCAGTCACCGTCCATTATGGCCGAAATATGGAGAGTACTTATATTTACCACCGCAGAGATGGGTTCATTCGCTAGAAGTAAGTATAATAATATTCTGACTTACCCTCATAAATAGTTTAAAATAAATCAAAGAACAGTGATCCTATTTCTCTGGTCGGAAGACGTGTCAGGGGTTGAAATTCATCAGAGGCTTTTAACACAATACAGCGACAGTGCACTACCGCGTACAGATCGAGAAAAGTGGCCGGACAAGCGTGACACACGAAGAAGGGGCAGGACACCCGTCAACCTCTACCACTGACGAGAAGATATAGCAAACTCGAGAGATGGTAATGACGAACCGACGAGTTATCATCTATGAGGTATGTTCTCTGCACATTCGGATCACTGCTCTTTGTTCCTCTTTGGTGCACACTACTAGCGGAGAAAAATACGACGAGAGAAAATAGAAAGCTTTAGTAGATCTGTAGTCGTTTTGATGAATCGGATGCCAACTGGCCAGGTGACTTACTTTTATCGCCTCAAACCAGACTGTCTCGTGGTGCATTTCTTTTTTTACTTTTTTTCAGTTAAGTACGAGAATTGAAATATCTAGGAAGTGTTTTAACAGAAAACGGAAAATGTGACACCAAAATCCGAAAACACATTAGAATAGCGAAATATGCCTTCAAAAATCTAAGCAAGATATTAAGAAACAGAAAGATTTCGTACCAAAGAGTACCAAAACGTTTGCTGGAGAAGCGACTTGAGTCAACACTAATGTGATTTTACAGAAGAGTGTTGAGAATACCATGAACTGAACATGTGAGCAACGACGAAGTTCTGGAGAAAATAAAAACAAAAAGGACACTTACACTTCGAATCTGAAAGAGACAGATGAATGTTTTGGGATACATAACGAGAAAAGAGAGCTTGGAGACTTTGACACTCACAGGACATAGTAACAGCACGAGGGACAGAGAAAACCAACGAATAACTTACCTACCAAACGAGCTTGTGTAAATAGTTGGTTGAACAGGGATTATGAGAGCTAGCAAATATATAATGTTTTTTATATATATATATATATATATATATATATATATATATATATATATATATATATATATATATATATATATATATATATATATATATATATATATATATATATATATATTACTATTTCTATCCTGTGTCATTCCGTTGCAGATTCTTTTTCTATATACCGTGGTCCTTTAGGACGTTGGTGAGCATGGCCCTCCACAATATTCAGTGCTTTGTAATTAAACTTTGTCTTTTTGTTATCTTATCTAAACCTTCCTCCGCCATTTATTTACACAAGTTCGTTGCTTTCCTCTGTCTCTCTTGCTTTCAATCTGTCCCGTGAGTATCAAATTTGCCAAGCATTCTTTCCTCATTATTTACCCCATAAATTTCAACTGTGTCTTCCTGGTGTTAAGTATAAGTGTCTTTTTGTTTTCATTTTTTCTAAAACTGTTGTTGCTCACATGTTTAATCTATGTTATCCTCAGTTCTTGCATAAGAAATTGCTTCTTTATAAATACTACATCAATTAAGTTTAAATAAATGTTATCGATTAATTGATTCCTTTCTCGTATTGTCGCCTTTAAATAATTAATATATTTACTTAAATCATTGGGGTGCAGTTATTTGTTGGATTATAATCTATATTATAAAACACAGTTTGTGCCATTTAATGTATAAACAAGCACACATTCACACATACACATCTGGGTACCCTATTCTCTTGGCCTTGTGCCACAGCTAAGCTACGCTTAGTAAATTGTTGTTGGGAATCTCGACGTGGTGTAATGGTTAGTAAGCGTGTCTCGCTAGAAAAATTACACCTGAGTAGTGAGTTCAATCCTCACTGTTACCCTATACGCTTAGAAAAATCACCATTCACACATACACACACAATTTGATTGAGTTTGATTTAAAACGTTAGAATAGTACCTTGCTCTCCCTCTCAGTTTGGACAACCCTTTCCCTTGGCTGAGCAATAAAATCATAAATTTGGAAACAAAAAAAGAAATAATTTTTTTAAATTAATAGTAATGAGTCGAGACGTTCCATAAAAATCCATTCGGTTATAATTTATTTCATGAATATACAAATATTCATCTCTTCAAACCAAGGTTTTATTTAATAGAAAGTTTTTATTAAAAAAGTTCAGACTGAAGAAATGAATATTTGTATATTCATGAAATAAATTATAACCAAATTGATTTTTAAGGATCATCTGGACTCATTATTATATTGCTCTGCTCTTACATTGAGCTCTCTTTAGATTAATGTCTTCCTTGGGATTATCCCTACTAATTATTAATTGATATTATATACATATATATATATATTGTGTGATATATCTATATATATATATATATATATATATATGTGTGATATATATATATATTGATATATATATATATATATATATATATATATATATATATATATATATATAGGATTAATACGAGTAAAATTTGTCAATTAGGTAATTGGTGTTATATTTAGCACCTTGACTCTGTCGATTCGTAGACAAAACGCTTTTGCAATCGTTCTGTTAAATCATCAGGGGTAAGTGTACACTGTAATCAACAGTGAGCAACAACAGTCTGTTACATTCTTGAATGCAAATGTCAACTTTTATATTTGCATATGCTCTATCCCTTATATTGTGCACTTTACTAATAAATATAGCAAACCATAAAACTATATTTTGTCATATATATATATATATATATATATAGCAACGGGTTACAAGGTGTGGAGTAATTTGGAGCAGAAACATTAGTACTGAGGAGGAAGAAAAGACCAATCTGGATAAGAGTAGATAACGACTGACATTGCATATTAAAGTTGGCTGGAAAGCTTGGGATCGGGAGTGGGGTCCACAAGTGAGAAATGCGGGATAATAAACTGTTAGCGTAGAAGTTAGTCTACATCTAGCTAGCTCAACTGTAAATTGCTGAGATCTCACCATCAGTCTAGTATTGCACTTAAATTCATAAAGTATAGGTACCATAGTGAAGAGATCATCCGAACAATTACCATGAAAGTATTTATTAAACAAGTCACAGAGAGGCAACTTTATGGATGTTGGCAATTGACTGAAGCCAAGCCACCAGATCAGGGACAATAATATTGCTGATTCTCCTTTGTATCTTATCAAGGAACTCCAGGAAAATAGCATGGGCACCAGACCATATATAACTGCAATATTCTAAGCACAGACGAATGGTAAACTTATAGATATGCAAGATAGATTTCGGAAAGAAAAATTGTCTAGCTGATCTAGCCTTTTTTTCTCCAGTTAGCGACGGTCTTGAGGTCATTTTGACCTTGTCTGACTGATCTGTTTTACTACCGAGACAGGAGCAAATGGTAGTGTTGTCAGCGTAGATGCCAAGTAGAGAGCTGATGCCAACGTCGTAGAAACAAGGATGGCGCCGTGGGGGACATCCGCGTTAGTACGAATAGATGTAGACGAGTGGCCGTTCAGGACAACTTTCATTTCACGATTTGATAGGAACGATTGGATTAGCTCAAAAATGTGTCCGAAGATACCATATCTTTTCAGCTTGTGGAGAAGACCTGAATGCCAGACCCTGTGAAAGGCTTTTGAGATGTGCAATGCTGCAGTCCGGGCTTCAGTGTTTTTATCTAGATCATGATAGACTCTTTCCGCAATTATCGTTAGTACCTCAACGATTGAACTGGAGAAACGAAAGCCGTATTGATTGTCTGAGAAAAGGCCCTGTGATAAGAGAGAACGAACAAATTCAGCATTGATTAGGGCATCTAGGAGTTTCCCAAAAAGAGGCAATAGTTGGTTGAGTCAAATAGTTCACCTGAGTTCTTAAAAACTGGAACATCAGACGATGATTTCCAGCAAGCAGGAAAGCAGGACTTGTAACGTGTTTCGTACTTCAGGACTACATTTGTTATTTTGGTATGACTACACATGCGCATAAACGAGAGATGCTGGGAATTTTAGAAATCTTTGTTTTATACATATATATATTTTATATCTAGCTGAATTCATTTAGAGTCTTTTTTCTCTCTTTCTCTCTCTCTCTCTCTCTCTCTCTCTCTCTCTCTCTCTTTCCATCACTTTTGTTAGTAGAGATCGCACACTGTAATAATAGAAGTTCTGCCAGGAATGGTGAAATGTTGCAAGAGCCAGGGCGCAAATTTACTGTAGATGACCTTGCAATCAAGGCAATTCTCTAAACATTTACGTCGTAATTCGTGTGTGTGTGTGTGTGTGTGTGTGTGTGTGTGTGTGTGTGAGAGAGAGAGAGAGAGATTTATGGAGTGCGCTGGCCGATAGACGTAATACACATTGTTTAAAATATTAACGTGGTATCTATTTCAAGCACGGGTATCCAATAAAAATAATGTTAGAAGTTATTAATACACACACACACATATATATATATATATATAACACCCGATAGTGATTTACAAAAGAGGCCGCATATGGAGCAAGAGGTAGGATTGTAGGATGAGATCACTATTAGATTGGCTGACCTTTTAGATATTGCTCTCGCTTCTTGAAGGCGATTCATATTAGCAGATTGAAAACTGCTGAGTCCACTAAAACACGTTGATCTCCATTCTACCCACTTCAAGGCTAAGCGCTCGAGGGTGTTATGAGATATATTGACAGCTGACAAGTTAAATATATACATATATATATATACCTACATGCATAATGTTTCTCGAGTATATTTTAGCTTTTGAGAAAATTCCGTACACACACATATATTACTGACCTTTATATTGTAAATTTGGTAATTTAGTTCGTACTAATAATAATGTCATCATTTTTTCTTGTAATATTTTAAACTGTTTTTTAAACTGTTAAACATAGCTTCTCTGAGTGAGGCGTCATCTTTATCATCTAACGATAGTGACTCATATTTCAATTTTTACTATTTAATTGACTTGAATGGTCGTGTGACTGTGCACATTTATTTATTTGCATGTGTCTCTTTTGACATTCGTATAAACGTACATATAGACACAGGAAAATTTACATATACATAAACTGCGGTGATCAGTCTTC